AGGGAGAGAGCACAGAAAGGGACCCAAATGTCCATGAGGGGTGAGGCCAGAGCCGTGGGAGAAGACAGCAGCTGAGCAAAGGCTTAAGGGGTGAGCAGGAGGGGAGTGAAGGGGACTGGAGGGCTGGCGGCCGGGGCAGAAGGACCCGTGATCGCAGGGGCGCAGATGGAAATCCCAGCAGAGCACAGAGCATGCCAGGAAGAGAGGCGGCTCGGGGCTGGAAGAGCTGCGATTGGAGCATGAGAAACGGGAGGAAATCCGCGAGGGCAAGAGGAGGAGAGGACACAGCAGGGGGATTGCACTGAGAACGCTCTGAATCCGGCCCTCTGCCCTTGGGGACTCTAGCAGATGTCCAACACAGAAATGACACTACTGTCTTGGTGTTCCTGAAAGGTCCCTCCCTTGGTGACTGGGAGGAGAGCGTGCCCAGGGAGAGGACACAGAAATCACGAAGCTCTGACAAAGCACCTCTCAGCGAGAAAGGATAAGGCCAGGTCAGGGCCGATGGGCGGAGATGCTGGGCTGACATGGGTCAGCAGAGCTGAAGGGGACTGGGGGGCTGTCTGGATCCAGTGACAGAGGGAAGAGACTCACCCATGATGTATCCATCTGACCACAGGGAGCAAAGAGAGAATTGGAGCCAAGTTTTGCTTATTTTTTTTTTTAAAAAAAGCAGGAATTTGATTTTGGACCTATGACGTATACCTGGGTGATGCAAGCTGCAAGGTCATCTGAAAACTCAGAAACCATTTAGGGCCAGCGAGAACGACCCGCTCTCAACAGTCCTATGAATCACGACAGGGTGAGAAGATGAAGAGAGAGAAGGACGGGAGCCAAGGACAGCAGTGCAGAGGGACAGGAGTCCCGGGGAACGCCCGGATTTAGCAGGAAGACACAAGAGAATGTTGCAGAGACTCAAGAAGAAGACAGAAGCCCCGAGACTCAGAAATCAGAGAAACCAAAGAATGTGGCTCCAGAAAGGGTCACGTTCCCAAAGCAATGAAGATGCCGAGTGGAGGAGGGACAAGGGCTCGTGTCTCGGAATGATGAGTAAGCTGTGTGATGGTCAAGACTTCTTGATGGCAGACAACTCAATTAAATGATGCAGGGTGATATTGTCAAGGGCTATTCGTGACCCACACACAGGTCTGGCTTTCAGTCCTGAACAGCGGTGGGAGCTGGGACAGACACCCACCTGTCACCCCGCCTCCACTGCCACCACGTCACTCAACTTGGCACCCCCGACAGGCCCTAGAACCTTCCCCAGTGCTGCTGCAGATGGCACCCATGTCTCGCGCCCCTGAGAACCCATGGAACCGCCTCACTGAGGGGAGTATGTAGGGACCTGGTGCTCCCCTTCAGCCTCCTCCAGGCTCCTGGTCCCAGTCTCTGCTTCATCCCCAAAGGAGTGTCTGCACAGCAGCGTCAAATGAAGATGGAGTCCAGAGATGCAAGAACGATCTTTATTCCTCGGAAACGCATTTGTAAAAATGGATCCGCAAGATGAAAAGATTCAGAACACGTTTATTTGTACGTGGCCCATACACCGGGTATCGGAACATCTGCCGAATGGAATAAGCCTGTAAACAGCTATTTTGGGGGAAAGTCTCGCCAATCCGCCATGTGGTGGAGTGGGATGGATTCTCTCCTTCTGGAGAGATTTTTGTGGTAATCCCAAAAAGATCAGATCTAAGCAAGGAAATATCTCCAGGATGCCAATACATCATTTGCTGAGGTTTAACAGGGGCCAAATTACAATTGCATATATAAAAAACCCTGTCAGGATGGATATCACAAAAATATTCACGAACGAGATCTCCAGCCTTTTTATTAAGAGGGGGAAAATGACTTGAAATGGTGTATGATGGGGAGAAATAAATATACGGGTACAATTTCAACCCTAGAAGACATCATGAATTTCTGGATTTACCAAAAGACTATGCAACACCCGTCCCATCTTATTTTCCAGAATGAGCTGGCACAACCGCATTCAGCTCTCCGAAGCTTTAATTTGAGCTATAAGCGTACCTTGGATCGCACACTGCTTTGTGGAAGAGGAAAGTCTAGGGCAAAAACCAACCCTCAAATCCTATGAATTCTGACGATGCAGAGTTCTCATTTTGCCTCCTGGAACCAGCCAAGCTAGCAGCACCGATCATTCAAGACATTAAAAAATGATTCTTGGACTTGAGCAGCAAAGTCTAACGAAAGGGATGCTATGCAATTTCTGATTAGTCAGATCATGAAAATCCAAAGTGGCAAAACTGCTTCAAGATACACACAAGTCTTCACGGATTTCGGTAACAGCGCACAAGTTACAGACTTCCGTTTCTGAGAGGAGTCCCTGCCAGAGATGGTAGTGCTGGGGTTGGGCATGGTGGGCTTTTGAGAAAATCAGCTTGAATGTTACATCCTCAGTTTTATAAAAAAAAAAAAGGGGGGGGGGGAAGGGGAGGGTTGAGATTTTAAGAAATTTGAAAGGCATGCAGGGTCTGGGTGCCGATGTCGTCCAACCTACTCTTCTCAGAGGGGCAAAGAGGGGAACAAGGACGACCTGGCTTGTCCAAGTTCATGTAGCCGCATAGTCCAAGCCCCTGAAGTCCCCAGGCAGCTGGGCACTACACAGCCTGTTTTTCTAGTTTTCCTTTTTATTCAATAATGGTAAAAACTATGCCAGTGAAAGAGCAGAAGAACCAATTGAGCCTTTTGACTCCAATTTAAAAATCGGAATATCCAAAGGATCCCTGAGCCTTGAGCTACCCTTCATTCGATTCAGAGTGCATCCGTCCAGAGCGCCTGGTGACTAGCTAGGGTTGTGGTGATCCTCGACAGCACAGGACTCTCCTGAGCGACACCGCAACAACACACGGGTCACGTTCGAGGACAGATCACAGAAGATGGAATGAAATGGAACAGAGGGTGGTGGGTTGGGAGTTTAGGATGCTTCAGTCTCTCAAAGTGCGGTCATGAGTTTATCTCGATACATCACACTCTGCACTCCTCCTAAGTTCTTCTGGTTCTGGTCGTGGACATAATCGCAACGGCCGTCACTTCCGCCGGCCGACGCTTTCCAATGGGACCTCTCATCCTGACCCGACGGCCTGCTTCATGTGCAGATGGGAGGGTCGGTTAATGGAAGGCGGGGGCGAGGCAGGGGAGGGGGGAATGGAAGAAAATTCAGAGATGTGAATGAAACAACACCAGCATGAAGGGCGCGGGCCAAAACCATAGGCTAGAGGCATGGGGAACAGCTTACACGCAGAAACCAACAGATTTTCTACTTGAAAGTACTTCGAAAGATTGTACCGGGGTTAAGGTGCTTGCTTTACATATGGCCAACCCAGTTGGATCACCAGCACAGGGTCTCCTGAGCATGGCCAGGAGTGATTCCCTGAGCACCAAGCCACAAATAAGCTCTGAGCACCACTGGTGTACTCCCCTTCCCCCAACCCCCAATGCAGTATCAGATGTGCATCATTTATCCATTTCCGAAGTGCAGAAATGTTCTAAGCATGTACTGTTCTTCCTGAGTGACTGGGGACCCCAGGATTCTGGAGAGAGTGAGGTGGAGGTGGGGGTCCCCTGACCAATGCTTGGAGTGGGACAGGGGGCAGCTGCTGGGGCTACAAGTCTCTTTTTCAGGCATCTCAGGCCCCGCTTCCCTAACCCTGGCATTTTTCACCTGAAAGTGGGATGAAAGAGGTGGCCCTACCAAGCAAGAATCTTCCAGACCCAGCTCCCAGCAGTACTGAGGCTGCCGCCCCAGCTCCATCCCAGTTCCTGCCCTCAGAACCCTCCTAGAAAGATGCTGGGTCCTGCTCCAAAGATAAGTAACCCAAAAAGCAGGCAGGAAGAAGTACAAATTCCATAAGAATGAGGTTCTTTGGAAACTGTCTTTCTCTCCATCACTTCTGTGTCTTGCATCTGGAAAAATAAACTGCTTTGGCAGTTCTGAACCCACCACGGTTAGGACTCCACTATGAATGGCAAGAATTTATAACAGAGTTGCCAGTCTATGGGATTCCCAACACAAGTGGTCAGAACCAACAGAGCTCATCTGCCTCAGTGGATCTATTCCATCATTCCCTCCGCATTTGCAGGGAACAATAGCATCGACCTTACCGAAGAGAAAAGCTGAACTCCCAAACTATGTTTCTGAAAGAGTGTCACACACAACCAACCAGTGAAGGCTGATGGAAATGTCAGATGCTACAAGGACCATGCACCTCAGCTAAGCTAGCATCAAAACACTCTCCTCCAGACGTCCATGCTAGATGCCTCCGGGAGGATGAGGTAAGAAAAAGGCACTTCAGCCAACACCCACCCTGCAGCCTTTTTTTTAACAAACAAACTTTACTGGAAACATTTGCATCCATTCACTTATGCACTGTCTATAGCTGCCTTCAACTACAATGCAGAGAGTCCTCGGAACAGAGACCAGAGTTGAAAACGATGATTCTCTGGCCCTTGACAGAGGTAGCTGATTGGAATTCGAGTTTGGAAAAAAGTGTTCAGCGTCCCCAAAGCAAGTCTATCCCACCACCCCTTCTTGGGAGGGGGAAAAAAAACCTCAAACCAAACCAAAAAAAAAAAAGTCCCAAAAACCAAATCCAAAAATAAATACAAAAAAACAAAACAAAAAAAACAAAACTCCACACAGCCCCAAAATTCCCCCAAGCTTTTGTCATATTTTAAATGAACGAATTTTCAAGATGAGAAAACATTACTTAGAAACATTTCAAGCACAAAATTAACTGGGAGGGAAAAAAAACACCCATGTTACAACAAGCAACCTCATTCATTCCCGTTCCATAAATCCTAACTTGGATAAATCTAGCTTTATCACTGGCATCTTTCGCTCTGCCAACTGCTCATGCCTCCAGCCGGGAACAATTTCTGAGGCGGAAGCTTCCTACCTAAGTGGCCCCCTGAGCATCGCTTCAGAAAGGAAGAGCAGGAAGTCGCCTTCACGGGCTCTGGTGGGGGGGAGGGGGGCTTACCTGATGTTCGGAGAGTGAGGAGAGTGTGGGAGCCACCGAGGCTGGCTGGGGTGCACGCTGGGGTGGAACTGAGGCTAGAAACAAAACACCAGAGGCAACGGATTACTCAGTGACCTTTACGTTTTCAATGGCAACCGTTTCTTTCCAGTTTCCTGGCCCTGTGCAAGGTATGAATGGAACCAGAGCCCGGCCCGGCCAGGGGGACTTTCCCAGGATGATCATGTTCGCCCGCCACAAAGGGCACTGCAGAGGGGATGAGGGTGGAGGAAGGGGGCCGTGTCAGCCCCGGGGGACGCAGGGCAGGCCCTGCTGGGTCCTGTCTCTCCCACGGGAACACACAGAAGGTGCAGAAGGGCCAGGAGAGCCATTCCTTCTGCGACAATGCTCACAGGTGCTCCAGTTAACAAAGGTCTCCCCGTAACGTCTGCACTGCGACAATGCCTGGACCAGAAGACTAAGGCAGTGGGGCCAAGGGCTGTCTGTCTGTCTGTCTGTCTCTCTCTCCCCCAACCTTATTGAATCAATAAAAATCATTTTCCGGGGCTGCAGTGATAGCACAGTGGGTAGGGCATCTGCCTTGCACGCGGCCGATCTGGGTTCAATTCCCAGCATCCCATAGGGTCCCCCGAGCACTGCCAGGAGTAATTCCTGAGTGCAGAGCCAGGAGTAACCCTGTGCATCACTGGGTGTGACCCCAATACCAAAAAAAAAAAAAAGTTCCAAAATGTGAATCAAAGCAACAACAACAACAACAACAACAACAACAAAAAACAAAACAAACCCAAACCAAACCACCAGAGCACGTCTTGTTATCCTGACAAAAGGGAAGGAGGGAAATCTGTCCATTTTAAGACCAGGAGAGAGTGTGACTCACGGCAGGAGATGGGCCAGGCCGGGCGCGCTGCCCTTCTGCCACTGACCTGCAGAGGGCAGCGGTCTCAGCCAGAAGCCCGGGGGCTTCTCTGGGCTCCACTCTGCTGGGCAAATCAGGTGCTTCTGACATTTGTCACCCCAGTCCTGCCACCATCACTCTTCTAATTACTTCTTCCTCTGCATCTCCCTCCCCTGCTGCTCAGCTTAATAAGCAGAAGGCAGTTCTCTTGTTATGGAAAATTCTCCACAATGTTGGCCATGAGCAGGGTCTCTCTCCTCTCCTTCTCCTCTCCCTCTCTCCTCTCCTCTCTCTCCTATCTCCCACCCTATCTCCCCCCCTTTTGTTCCCCCCTCTGTCTCCGTGCTGTCACAGCCATGGAAGTCCCTCACCCGCAAGGACACGCTAGAGAAAAGAACAATAAAATGAATGTGGAGAAAATATCCCGGCAGCAGAATTCCAGGGCTGTGCCCAGGTTTGCAAACTCTTTTTACATTTCTCTCTCTGAGGCTACAGACTAGAGCTTAGGTCTATGGTTTTCAACCCCTGGTTCAGATATAAAAAGACGAGGTTTTGGGGCAGGAGCGATAGTACAGCGGGTAGGGCATTTGCCTTTCACGCAGTTGACCTGGGTTCAATCCCCGGCATCCTATATGGTACCCAGAGCACTGCCAGAAGTAACTCCTGAGTGCAGAGCCAGGAGGAATCCCTGAACATCGCTGGTTGTGACCCAAAAAAGCAAAAGAAAGAAAGAAAGAAAGAAAGAAAGAAAGGAAGGAAGGAAGGAAGGAAGGTTTTGGGAGCCGAATTATAGTATGATAAGTAGGGCGATTGCCTTGCAGGTGGCTGACCCAGGTTCAATCCCCAGGACCTGATATCATTCTCTGAGCCCACCAGGAGTGATATCAGAGTAGAGAGCCAGGAATAAGCCCTGAGTACTAATGGATGTGGCCCAAAAAAACAAAAGAAAGGAAAGAAAAAGGTTCTGATGATTTGCCAAAGCAAGCTATTTCAGGGGGGCTGGGCCCGACAGCAAGGTCCCCCAAAACAGCTATCCTCACAGGAGAAGCACTTATAACAGATACGTACCCTCTCGTAACTCTGAGTCACTGGGGCATGGTGACAACCTGACCCATAACATCTTGATAGAACGACATTCCAGAACCTTCTTTGGTCTTTGGTCTCTTTTGACAATTTATTCACTCTCTAGAGCTGTTACGGAATATTTTAATACAAACATTCAAGGTTTTCCACCTGGTATGTGTTGGGCGTGGGGTGGGGTGGGGGTTGGGGGGTACCTGTGACCTTAGGGTCTGCCTTTCTGTGTCTGCCAGGGCTACTAAATCTTCACTCACGGAGCAGAGAAAAGCCCAACCTCCTGCGAGTCTAGGAACAGCCCTGACCATGAAGAGCGGTCTCTCCCCAGAGGCCAGCAGTGTCCTCGCCGAGAACACGGCAATCCCGTCTCTGCGCTTGGCTAGCCAGGCTGGAACGAGAACGGACACAAGGTCCCCTTACCAGCCTCCCGGAAACCTTCTGCACACTCAGATGGCGGAAAAAGATGTGACTCCCTGCACCCGCCTGCTTCAGGGGCCGGGCACACTGGGGGTGCTCCATGGCCAAGGCCCAGCCTGGGTCCTTCTCGGTGCTCGCACCCCTAAGCCCTCCCCATGTGAAGCGTGGAGCCCAGACCCTGCAGCCAGTTCCTGGCACCACACCAGGCCCTGACAGAGCAATACAGCCCTTCCAGGGCTCACCAGGGGCCCAAGACCCGGGGTGGCCAAAGAGGCAGAGTGAAAAACAATGCCTGGGAAGCCCTTTCCAGGGATGTGGTATCCACACTCGCCTCCATGGTGCAAGTGGAGAAGACAGGGCGGGGACGGAGGGGTGGCTCCGAGCTGCACCTGTGTGGTCTGACCTTTCCTCTCGGCATCAAGCACTCATCACTGAGCCACCCAACCTCCTGCCCCAGCATCCCAGTCACTCATAGCCCAAACAGCCTTACAAGAAAACCAAAATGAGAAGTCCCCCCCTTCCCTGGGTGACTATGATTCAGGGACCCCTGTGGAGACCGGGAGGGCTGTCCTAACACACTACTCTACAGAGCAGACTAGAAGGTTCTGGTCACTGAGCACCCACTCAAAAGCGAGAGGGGGGGAGGTTAGCTTCAGGCGTGTCCATGAAGAAAACTGCATTCGGAGACACTGGATTAGGGAAGGACATGCTGGGGGCCTAGGCCAGGGTTCAAGGGGGAGAGCCCAGGCCAGGGAGGGACGAGAGTCAGGTTTAATCCCCCACAGTGCCACCTGAGCACCCACGGAGCGGCAGGCATGGGCCCTGGGCAACACTGGGTGTGTCCCCACATCTAATGAGTGACTCAAAGGAGCATTGGGGCAGAAGGATTTCCCAATCCTCTCCACACCACAATGGGCGCCCCAGGGCCGGGAGGAGGAAGAGGGGAGTGAAGGAGGAACCGCTTCTCCCGAGGCACAACTCAAGGACATCATGTTCTCTGGGCAGTGACAAGAGACGGCCTCGCCCCAGTGCTCCTAAGACGCTGTCTCCAACCATCTAGAAATGGAAACGAGTGTCCCTGCTCGTGGACAGCTGGGCAGCGCAGAGGGTAGCCCCAGTGGCCGGGAGAGAGCAGGCTGGGTGTGGGAGAAAAGTGCCCTCATTTTCCTCAAGGATAAAATCAAGCAAAGTACGGCGTTTGTGTGTCCTCACATGTGTGTCCTTGTGTGTGCATGCCCTTACATGGGTGTCTGCGCACGCCCTTACATGTGTCATTGTGCCTGCGTATTTTTACATGCGTGCCAGTGTGTGTTCTTGTGTGTAACTGTGCATGTGCATGTCTTTACATGTATATCATTGTGTTCTTGCCCTTACATGTGTGTCACTGTATGTGCATGATCTTACATGGGTCACTGCATGTGCATGTCCTTACATGTGCCATGTCTGCACATCACACGTATGTCAGTGCATATCCTTACACACATGTACTTACCTCTGCTTATCTTTACGTGTGTGTCTGTGCTTGTTTTTACGTGTGTCACTGGATGTCTGTGCATGTCCTACCTGTGTCATTGTGTCCGTGCCTATCTACGTGTGTGTGTGTCGTTGTGTGTCTGTGTATATCCTTGTGTGTGTCTGACTGTTTCCGTGCATGACCTTATGTGGGTGTGTGTGCATCCCACAGAGCGACAGGCCAGCCCCTGTCCTGATTCCCTTAAAATCTGACTGAAAGCATCATGCCTGCAGTGCAGAAACTGAGAAGCCAAGAAGTACCACACCAAAGACTGTACTAGGGCCATACCACGTGGTGCCGGGGTCATTCCTAGCAGTGCTCAGGAGACTGTACATAGTTCAGGGGGTTGAACCGGGCCAGCAGTGCACCAGACAAGTGCTTTAATCGCAGTATTACCTACTCCAGCCCCTGCCATAAAAACTTTTAAAAGCAAAAATCTCACCTGGTAATTATGGACTTCAGGATTTGTTTTAGAGCTAAAAGAAGAAAAAAAAAAAGAGAGCTGTAATGGATCAGGCTGTGAAGTGGAATTATCAACAACCATACACTTTTTCTCATATTGTCAGGCACTTTCCTCTAAGCGATTCCCTTTTGGATATTAACCGCCTCACGAATACATGGAACCAGAGACCAAGAAGCGATTTTTCTTCATCACCTGACGCTCACAAAGCCAAGCTGCAGATGGTGGCGCAGAACCTGGCCTGTGATGGTCTGTGTTGGTGGCATTTTAGCTGCCTCTGCGGGCCTGAGCTGGATCGGCTGGGAGGGGCCCGTGGGAGGCCGAGGGCTTTCTCCAGCCAGAGGGAGCACCACCTACCACGGCTGAGCCTTTGCCACCGTGGGTCCTGCAGAAAGCAACCAGGCAGCTGGCACCGGGCCACCCTTTGGAATGTTCATCATACAAGGCTCCCTCTTGAGAGCCTCACATCTGTTGTCATTTAATCCACACCACAAGGCGAGGGGGCTGGTCTACATCCCCACACCTCGTTTTCACGAGTACTAGGATACCTCCTCAGGGTCACCTGGCCACACCTGCTCCGGTCACTGTCGCTCAAGTCTCCCCACCCAGCCCAGAAGGCCCGCCCCGATGTCGGGATTCCCGTTTTCCTAAGTCGAATGGTGCTGGGTTACAGAATGCATCTGTATAGGGCAGGAGAAGGCTGGCTGCAACAACTCGAGTGTTGAACCTGCACGTTTGGCAGCTGCCAGGGTGGGGAAAAAGCAACGTCTGAAGCCAACCCCTGGGCTGCCAAGACTGGGGCGTGTGTCCGAAATGAAGGCACAAAGAGAGGGGACAGGTCACTGTGACGAGTCTGGCTCAGGGGCGGACGGGCTCTGCTTCCACAGAGCAGTGATGGTCTGTGCATGGCATGAGGCTCTGCGCCAGCAGGCCGCTGAGACGCACCTCCCTCCCATCAGGAACGTTAAGGGCTCTGCAAGGCGCCCTGGGATCAGCCCTGGGCCCCGAGCACAGTTCCAGCTGTGGCCCCCACAGCACCCCCAGCCATCCTCTTCACCCCAGGACCCCACCGGCTGCGAGGAGCAATGGCACAGCTGCAAACACTAGTTATTAGCTCATTTGTTCCCAAAGGGTGTATTTACTGTTGGGGTTTTCTTTCTTTTTTTTTTTTCAGTTTGTTTTGTTCCCCATACATGTAATCTCCACGAGACGCTCAAAAGGAACATGTCATTTTATTAGGGGAAAACAAGCAAACAAAACAATGATAGCCTCAGAAAGCAACGGACTGCTGCTACCGCGGACAAAGCCCTGAGCACGAAAAGCCAGACAGGCGAGAAAGTACAGACACGCTCTGAGCCACGCCCTCGACCAGGACCCAGGAAGCAGGGCACATGTGTGGAGCCCTAAAATGAAGCCATGCAAAATCACTGCCACCTCCTTCCACTCTGCAGAGCAGGGACGTGGTGCCCAGCAGTGCCACAGGACCTCGGAGACGCTTCTCGGGAAGCTGAGAACTGAACCCCAAGACCAGAGTCAGACTCTGTGCCCAGCACCGGGGGTGCCTTGCCCTCAGACTTGCGACTGGACATGCGGCAGGGACTTCCTGCTGGGATGTGCAGGGTCAGAGAACCTAGACGACCTTGGGGTTGCTTGGAGGTGCCTGGGGGCTGCCTATGGTGGTGGGGGCAAGAGAGGGCAACCCCTTCCGCCCCATGCTGCAGCCTCACCCAGAGCTGGTCCAGTTTTTTTGTTTTTGTGTTTGTTTTTGTCTTTTGCTTTTTGGACCACACACCCAGTGATGCACAGGGGTTACTCCTGGCTCATGCGCTCAGGAATTACTCCTGGCAGTGCTCAGGGCACCATATGGGATGCTGGGAATCGAACCCAGGTCAGCCACGTGCAAGGCAAATGCCCTACCTGCTCTGCTATCGCTCCAGCCCCTGGTCCAGTTTTAATTTCTTTGGGGGGGGGGACACTCCCAAGCAGTCTGGGGTTCCCCCCCCCCCGATGAATCTCCCCACGGAGATTTCAGCCAGCCAGGCTGCCGGTTTGATGCAAGGACCTGAGGAGGTGCTGCTGCTCGGGCCCTGGGGTGCTGGGGATACCTGGGCCACCCTGGCAATGCTAGGAGGCCACCAGAACCGCACCTGGGGATGCCTGCGGGCACATGTGGCACCATGACTGCACGCAGGCCTGGCACATGAGCCCTAAGCACTGCACTGCCTCCCGGCCCCAGGGTGGCTCCGCTGTGGCCACTTCTGTACCTGGACCTTCTATAGAAGGCAGGTTTCTTCTGGGGACTCTGAATCAGGGCTAACAGCTTCCAAAGGACATGGGTCTAGCCCCACCTCATCTTCAAGAGGGAAAGGAGGGGCCAAAGTGACAGTATAGCAGCTGCACACGGCTGGCCCGGGTTCCATCCCTGGTGCCCCATATCATTCCCCAAGGCACCACCAGGAGTTAAGTCCTGAGCACCACCAGGTGTGGCCACCCCCCACTGCACCCCTCCCCCCCCCAAAAAAACACCAAAAAAGTGCAAAGAGATGCAAAAAAGGAAACCGCCATGGCCACAGGGGGTCAGCACCCCCCCCTTACCCCATCCCACGTGTACACCCGAATTGTCCCGATGACATATCCAGCATAGCACAGCAACCGAGCTGCTTGTGGACAAGCATCCGGGTCAGTGGCTGCCACTGAGGCACAGTGCTGAAGTCACTTGAGACCATTTGTGACACTCCAGTCTGAGCCTACCCATGTGCCAACACTAACGCCAGAAAACGGCTGCTTCCGGGGAGAACGAGAGGCAGAGAGGAGCGGTCAGCCTCCGGCCACAGCCAGCTGGGGGGCTGCAGAGTCACAGGGGCTGGTCCCACGACTCATCCCACCGGCCTGATGAAGGCACAACCTGGCTGGGATAGAGATGGGGAGAGACTCCAAAGCTTTGCAGGGGCCTCCTATGGATGGAAAAGATCAAGGACCACTTGGGGCGAGAGAAGGGGCCAGTCAAGCAAGCTCCGGGGGTCATAGCTGGTCCCCGCTCTGAGTGGGAGAACAAGGTGGGCACCCAGTGTACATCTTCATTCATTCATGGGAACCTTCCAGAAAAAAAAAAGGGAGACTGACCGTGGGCTAGTCTTCTAGTCCAGAGTCCCTCTTCTTCTCCGGAGGGAACATCAATGAGTTTGTCCTCTAAGGGCCTTCCTGGGCGCCACCAGGTGAGTCCTGCCCGCTCTCTCGGGAGCACGGCTCTCCTGGGTCCCCGCCTTGCGATGCCCCCTGCACCCTGCGTGGCGGTGCACATTCCAATCACCTTCATCACCCACGGTTCGAGCAAACAGCTCAAGCCACTCAAACAAAGCTGCTGTGTTTCCACCCCCCTCCCCCCAAAACAAAGGCCCTTGGAACGGTCTATTGTGTACTTTTGGAGAGCCAAGAGGATGGTATAGCCAGGCAGCGGAGAGGAAAAACAAAACACAAACTAGCAGGTGACTCACTGGTGAGATTTCATTGTATTAAGGGAACAGTCCACGCTGAAAAGCAAGATAACCGCAGAGAATAAAAGCCAGAGCCCAGAGCCCAGAGCCTGGGGAGACGCACTTACCAGAGCTGGGCGGCGATCACCGGGTTGCTCGCTGTGGAGGAGAAAAAGAGAGGCAAGATGTCGGGGAGAACCGTCTTCCTTCCCCACGTGGTGACAGTGTCTCAGGAAGACGTGTGGGACCTCAGGACAGTCCCGACCCCCCGGGGTGGCTCTTCACCTGGGCCACAACTGTTTTTGTCTTTCGCCCCTGCCCCCCTAGGGTCAACTGCTTTCTCTTGGCTCTGTCCAGCCTCTTCAGCTCCCCTTGGGAAAGCTGAGGGCCCCTCCGGGACCAGACACTCGGGACGCCAAGGCAAGGGACGCCAAGGACACCAACAGTCCTGGCTGGCCCTGGAGGGGCAGAGTGGACGAGCATGAGAGCAGTGGAAGGTGAGCAAGTCAGCAGTGTAACGGGCGCCAAGCGCTGGGGGCAGGCACGTCCCTGGAGGCGTGGGTGGAAAGGCACCATGCAGGGACAGAGCACAGCTATCAGACTCCTTCAGGTTGCAAAGAGGAGGAGCTTTGAGAAATGGTGAAGAGATTTCACTCGGGTGCCAGAACTTGGGCTGGAGAAGAGGGAAGAGCCACGCACCCCGGGGTCTGGAAGAGCTCACAGGCCCCTCTCCTGGGCTCAGCAGGAAGGATGCCCCTCCCCGCCGCCCCCCAGGACAGCCCCACCACGGGGTCTGCCAAGAAGGGGCAGAGGCGGAAGCGTCCTCAAGGCTGGCTACCCGCAAGGGCAGAGCAGGTGCATGATCGGGAACTGCTCTGATGGGTCAAGTGTGGACACTGCAAGGCTGAGAGTCACTGTGGGACCGAGAATCGTGGTCCACAGGAAGAGTCACTGACCTCTGCTCTTATTCCTGCCTCCCCAGTGCAAAAGCAGCAACGGGGCACAAGAAATGTGGAGGAGGAAAAGGAAATAAATGCCCACAGGAAAACACCAGCGGGAGGCAGACGTGGCCGGACTCCCAAGGGCATCCCATCAAGAATTTTGTTTTCTTTTATGGTGGGGCTGGGTGGTAAGGACTCCGAAGCAGTGCTCAGGGGGCCCAGGGGCACTCCCAGTAGTACCCAGGCAACTGTGCCAGGTGGTTCAAAGTACGCGCCCCAGAGTGCAGAAATGCTTGGGCCCTGCAGTGCTAGGGACCACCAGGACATCCTCAGGGGTCCCCACCACCCAGGGCATTTTTTCAAAAAGTCTGGACAGGGCAGGACAGCACCAGGTCCCTCCCCCAACTACTTCCCTCAGTTCCCCGGGGCTTCCCCAGCTGAGCTCCAGTGTGAAACTCCAACGGCAACAGAACCCAGCACCCAACCTTTGAAGGTGGAATGTCTTCGGGACGGGTAGCGTTTGCTTGGCTTCCTCTCGAAGGTGTTGGTTCTTCTTAACCTGGAGCCGTGAGTCGCCTGGTACTCTGTCCGCCCGCTGGAGAGTGGATCGTGGAACTGCACGTTAGTTATCATCAGGTGACCCACACGCGGAAGCAACCTTTTCTTTTCCAGGGCTCTGAAGTCAATTTCAACGAAACCACAACTCGCTGGATGGAGCCACAGTCCCTAAAGGCTTCCACCTGGACATCAGTCTCCTCTGCCAATCCCTGACAGTCGAGGGCCCAGCCACGTGGCCACCCACACCTGGCAGGCCCCAGCACTTGGAATATGTGAATAAGAGAGCATTGATTTGTACATAAAATCGCCTCTCCAGAAGCACATCACACGGACATTGAAGTCGTTTAAAAGGCTGTTATCAATGCCCACTGAGCTGAACCTTGGACCTCCTGGCGATGCCAAAGCAAGCACCACTATCTCCGACCCGCTGGATTCCACCTACGTGACGTGCGGCTGTCGCTTCCAGGAGCTGTGCTGTGTTTGATCTGCCACAGCTTCATCCGGCCACTCTGGGTCTATATTTATCAGTCAGGAGCAGCCGCTAGCTACCTGCTATTCACACCTCGAGAGGTAATCTCCTCTCCAGACTCCCCTACCTTCCACAGTTCCTCCTCAAAGTGCAGAAGGGAGGCTGGCCTGGATGGGATCCCAGACCAGTTTCCTCCTTGGATCAAAGAGCCTGCCTGGATCTTATTTCATTTTATTTTTTCGCTTTTTTTGGGTCACCCCTGACGATGCTCAGGGCTTAGTCCTAGCTCTGCACTCAGTAATTACTCCTGGCAGTGAGCAGGGGACCATAAAGGATGCTGGGGATCAAACCCAGGTCAGCTGCGTGCAAGGCAAATGCCCTACCCGCTGTACTATCACCCCAGCCTCACCCGAGTCCCATTTTATCAATTTTCCCTCATTTTATCAATGGGGAGACAAGAGGCTGAAGAATGATTCGACGGAAGGCCAGCTCTGAAGAATGAATGTACAACTCACTGAGTTGTCGGATTTACAACTCAAGTCTCCGGATGCAAACACAACCCTCCACTCGTCATAAAGAAATACTACGGGCGGGAGGGGGCTGGAGCGATAGTACAGCGGGTAGGGCGTTTGCCTTGCACGCGGCTGACCCAGGTTCGATTCCCAGCATCCCATATGGTCCCTCGAGCACCGTCAGGAGTAACTCCTGAGTGCAAAGCCAGGAAGTAACCTCTGTGCATCACTGGGTGTGACCCAAAAAGCAAAAAAAAATAAATAAATAAAAAAATAAAAAACCCAAAACCACGGAACACGCAAGACCTGATGGCCAACAGCAATCGGGCTGCCGGGGGAGGCAGCACCTCCCTACCTGAATCGGAAACGGGAGCCCAGCCTCATGAAATCAGAGCGGTGGGATTTGCTGTTCCCCGGGGTGCGCAGCCGGAAGAAGGAGTGGTGTTCCACAGCACACTTCCAGAGGTGCTTGCAGGTCCGGGCGCTGTCCAGCCGGAACACGAAGGTGTGTTCTTGCTCCCGGCCCTTCGGGGGAGAGGGAGGGGCTGATAAGCACAGAGCATGCAGTGAAGAGGGGAGGGGGGATGCAGCATAGGACAGCGGGGGGATGCTGCCAGGACAGAGCTTGTAGCCAGGCCTACCTGATCATCATCTTCTACCACCACCAGGGTCAACTTGCTCTTTTTAAAATCCATTTTGGTGATTTTAGGCCTGGACAGAGAGAGGGAGGGAGAGAATGGTGTACGAGGGCCCACGATTGGGAGCGACATATTCGACTCAACAAACAGCAACGTCCTGTTCTCCTCATTTTAAGCTTAGGACTGGCAACAAAGCCACTGTCCATTGGCATGCCAGGGGCACCGCCCAGGTTGGGACCCCCACAGACACAGCACGATGGTGTGTGGCTTTGCCAAGGCATCCCGGCACTGGTGCCGATCAACCATCATCCAGCCCACATCATCCCACCAACACACAATCAAAAAAGACATTTTTTAATTGAATGTGATCAAAGTAGAGAGAGAGTAATATGGAAATCATCTGCCCCACAGGTAGGGGGAGGGTGTGGGATGGGGGTATACTGGGTTTGTTGGGGGTGGAGAATGGGCACTGGTGAAGGTACGGGTGTTTCACTGTATGACCAAGACTCAGACCCGAAAGCTTTGTAACTGCTCTCACGGTGATTTAATAAATAAAATTATAAAAAATGAAAAAAAAAAAACAAGAAAGACATTTTTGAAAAATCAGATGAAACAGAATTACCAAAAGAATAAGCCGATTTTGTTAGCTCCTTCAAAGATTAATATGCCCGTTGGGGTCAGTCCAAGGGAATATTCACAACCATCTCTTCCCTGCAAAGAAACGAAGTTTCAGTAAAGGGTTCCAACAGGTCACCAAAATGCAAAAACCAAACGCAACCCGTTTCAGTACCATGTGATGAAATTGCACACTGGTTCCACCCAGCCCAGGCACCGCCAGCCCCGGGGACCAAGATGAGCAGAGTCCTTACCCTGACCACGTGCATGTCCACCCCATACATCTCCAGCCACTTGGCCTTATTCAGGTAGGAGAGTTCCGCTTGCGCAGGGCTCTTCCCCCTTCGAAAGACAATGGAAATTCGTGTGAGCTGCAGCTCAGAGAGACCGCACCACATTCCCCAGCCCCGGCCACAAGGAGGGACACTGAGTCACACCAACAGGACAAGGCTCAGAGCACAGAGAGGCAGAGAGCAGGAACAAGACCGCAAGGAGGAAACCGCTGTTTCCCAGCATGTAGATTGTGGACAGACGTGCACAAGAGGTGGGCGAGAAGGGAGCCCTGTGGATGGCTGATGGCACAGGCTGCAGGGAGAGGTGTGAGGTTGTGTGTGTGTGTATGTGTATGTATGTGTGTGTCTGTGTGAGTTTCTGTGAGTGTGGGTGCATATGTGAGTATGTGTCTGTGTGTATGAGTGTGTAAGTGCCTATGTGTGAGTGTGTGTGTTACTGTATGTGTCTGTGTGTATCTGTGTGTGTGGTATGAGTGTGGGTCTGTGTGTGTCTGTGTGTATGTGAGATGGTATGAGTGTATCTGTGTGTAAGTGTGTACGTGTGTATCTGTGTCTCTATGTGTGTGACTGTGTGTGTATGAGTGTGTGTGTCTGTGTGAGTTTGTGTATGAGTGTGTGTGTCTGTGTGAGTTTGTGTGTGGGTGTGTATGTGAGTGTGTGTGTATGGCTGTATGTGTCTGTGTGTCTGTGTGTAAGTGTGTGTGTGAGTGTGGGTCTGTGTGTGTCTGTGTGTATGTGTGACGGTATGAGTGTATCTGTGTGTAAGTGTATACGTGTGTGTCTGTATGTGTCTATGTGTGTGACTGTGAGTATAAGTGTGTGTGCTTATGTGAGTGTATGACTGTGTGTATATTTCTGTGTGTCTGTCTCTGTGTGAGTGTGTGATTGTGTCTGTATGTGTGACTGTATATGAGTATGTGTGTATCCATGCACACACGTGCACGTGTGTGTGTGTGTGTGTGTGTGTGTGTGTGTGTGTTGGGGGGTGGTGAAGTACAAGGACTTTATGGCCACCCTGCGAGGCCATCCCCAGTGCACCCACCCATGAGTGGGCTCATTATTTCATTTTTCCATAAAGGTCCAAGCTCTGCAGAAGGACAGGGAGACGGAAAGGGGGAGGCACCAGGAAACCTGCTAAGTTCTGGAGTCCCAGAGGGGTTTGGAACCGGCAGAGCCTGGGAGGCAGGGGGCAGGCAGGAAGAGAGGTGGCACCAGACTAGAACGTCAGGCATGGTGGGCACACAGAGGGCAGAGTGGAGAGCCAGGAGACAAAGGCCAGGGCTGGATGGTGATCTGGGTCCTGAAACATACGTATAAAACACATGGTCTTAGGGACCAGAAACAGTGAGACCTATTTCTAGTGGTTTCTAAAGGGCCATATGGAGAAGATCCGGCCCAGGTGTGAGGAATATGGAAGGAGGCCCCCGGGGGCTCTCTCTCTGCAGGAAGCCAGGACAAAGCCAGGTGCCCGTCAGGGCCAGGCTCTGTCACCTCCAAACAGGAGTGTGGGACAGGACGTCCGGGGACAGGACCGAGGCACGGGAGAGGAGTGAAGCGTGGGGCTGTGGGTGGACAGTCCTCCCGAGAGCCTTTGGACCGACAGACAGAACACCGCCTGGAGACCCTGCAGGCGTGCCACGGTACCTGCACTCTTTCCACCGCTGGAAGATATCAAACTCCATCGCCTCTGTCTGATTGGGGATGAACCGAAACTCAGACACAAGCTCTGGTGAGTGTTCCGGAAGCTCGCACTCGCCCAGCTCCGCTGCAAGGTTTCAGAGAAGGGAGAAAAGGGGAGACGGTGAGGGCGCTCGGTCAGGGCCAGGCGCGGCCAGGCCCCGGAGCATCCTGCGTGAGGATAAAGCCCAGGGAGCTGCGGATGTCTCGCACTGCCTGCAGGAGGGTTGAATTCCCACTTAGTACCCGCGCGGCCACTCGGCATCCACCAGCACGGCGCTAATTCCCTCCCCGTCGGGCTGTACACCATCATCTCCGTTATTACTCTCTTCCTCCAGACAATTCTGCCTACCTGGGGAGGCCCCATTATGTGTTCCCCTGAGAAACGGTACAGCCTGAATTTGCAATAAACGGCAATTGCAGGGAATGATGATCTGCTCGGAAACATCCATTTAACAAGGCTCTCATTAGGCGGGCTGGGGACCGGGCAGTCTGCAGTGCTGGAGGGCGCCCAGGGGAGTGTGCTGGGCAGGGAGGGAGCCGGGACGGGTGAGGGCACCAGGCAGAGGAAGCCAGTGGGCTGCGAGGAGCAAGTGTGGACACGCGGGGTATGGGAGAAAGCTGGGGTCCAGGGAGGAGCTGCCACGGGTGAACCCAGAAACAAAGCGAGTCCCTGCTCTGGTCAAGGCCCCCGCCCCCAGCCCGACGCCCATCCCCGACACCCGAGGCCTGAAGACACAGGAGTTGACTGACTCTCACTCGCCATCCAGACCCTACCCTGCCGGTTCAGGAGACCCAGAAAGAAAAGGAATCCTCCAGACCAGGGGTCCTCAGCACAGGCGGGGATTGGGTGCGATGGGGGTGTGGGGGTGTGGTCAGAGCTGCAGGGCAGGGGGGTCGAAGAATGCAGCCCTGAAGCGGATTTTCTTTATTTTCTTTCTTTATTTATTTGCTTTTTGGGGTCACACCCAGCATTGCTTAGGGGTTACTCCTAGCTCTGCACGCACGAATTACTCCTGGTGGTGCTCAGGGGACCATATGAGATGGGATGCTGGGAATCGAACCGGGTTGGCCTCATGCAAGGCAAATGCCCTACCCACTGTGCTATGGCTCCAGCCCCTGAGGAGGATTTTCTTAACTGTTATTTCGAACCCTTCCGACCTTGCTTCCTTCCTGGGACATCTTTGTCGTCTTACTAGTTGTCCCCCCTCAGCCTTGTGTGGTTGTGCTGGAGACACCCCCCCCCCCCACACACACACACATATTTGGGAGATTTTTCTCCCAACCCTCTTGTGTCCCACTTAGGAAGTTTTCACACATGAGACTGGAATTTCCTGGGAACTTGCAGGGAGAGGCCCATGGGACTCCCAATTAAGAAATGGCACCCCCTTTTCAAGAAAAAAAAAATCAATGTCTCTCTAGGAATTTACCTTCTTTAAAGAACAAACAGAAAGTGAGGGGCTGGAGCCATAGTACAGAGAATAGGGCGTTTGCCTTGCACATGGCCAACCTGGGTTTGATCCCCAGCATCCCATATGGTCCCCAGGGCACTGCCAGGAATATTTCCTGAGTGCAGAGCCAAGAGTAACCAAACTCTGTGCATCACTGGGTATTACCCAAAAAGTAAAAAAAAAAAAAAAAATCAAAAACAGAAAGTGACCCTCCCCACTGCAACAAAGGATAGTAATACCGCCCCTCCCTCCCCGCCATGAGTCCAACACCTGTCCCCCAGGAGGTTATATTGTTCACTTTGGGAAACAAAGGTCCAGAGCCAGTTTCCTCTGACACCAGCATACCTGGCAGAGAGTGGGGACGGGGGTAGGGAGGGGTGTTGGTTCTGACCATCGTGATGAAAGATTACAACAAAACACAGGGAAAGTCATTCCCATGAATGAATTTCTGGTCCTCCTGTGCCTATAAGCTACATTATACACTATCATCTACCAAGTTGGCAATAGCATTAGACCTAACAAACTGTACATACCTTAATTAAAAATATTTTCCCGAGAGGGCAGCTCATAAGACTGGCATGCATGTCTTGTACCCAGAGGCCCCAAGTTTGATCCCTGGCACTGCCTGGCATCCTGAGCAGCATGGTACTCCCCTAGTACTGCGAGGCCCACACAGCTGGGTCAAGGATTGCCAAGCAGTGACCCCCAAGCCTATGAACAACGCTGGGGAGACTATCCTCCGCTTAAAAGGAAAAAAAAAAACCCCTTAATGCTCAAAGATGCTCACCATCGTATGAGCCGTGTGAAAACATAGCATCTGAGAAGCGCAATCAAACAAGGAACGCAGGAACCTTGCTACATAGAGGAGAGAGCACCAGACCACAGCTGGAAGCCTGCTCGGGAGAACCCTGCCCTTCCCCAAGGTTTGCAATGGGGGTGAGGGGGTGCACATATTACCGAACACTCCAGTCCCATCCGCGAGGGCTGCTTCTTCGGTCCCTGGGGCAGCCTGGTGCCCAGGGCAGAGCCATACAGACAAAGTCTGCTTAGGAAACAAAGGCAAGAGCTGGGCCCAAGGCAGAGAAGGGGATGTGTGTGTGTGTGTGTGTGTGTGTGTGTGTGTGTGTGTGTGTGTGTGTGTGTGTGCGTGTGTGTGTGTGTCTGCTTTAGCCACAGTGGAATCTACTGATCTCAGACTCTGAAGGTCCCTAGAACATCCCCAAAGGGGCTGGCTAAAATGATAGTTCGGTCATTGGAACAGTCCTTACCTCTGACCAAGAGGTCACAGAAATCTCCCAGGACCTAACCAGATGTCTGCATATGAACTGCTCTCTGTCCTAGTCCTAGGGCCGAAGCAAGGCAACAGAGCCTGAGCTTGAGCTGAAGGCCAGTATCAGGCATAGAGCTGAGGGGCAGGAAGCCAGTATCCCCCCCGGCCCCCGCCATCCTCCAATGCTCAGAGTGGGCAAAGGGGGGCCAGCCACTCTCCTCACTGGACTTCACTCACTCAACTGGGCCTGGGGAAGGCCTGGCCATGCCACCTGTCACTGAGCACTGCCCGGCCAGTCCTCACACTTACACGCTCTGCCAACGCCACAGCCAGGCTCCCAGGTATGGAAGCATCCTGTCAGGTGGTGGAGGAACCATTCACATGTGGTAGGGTGAAACCTCCAGTGTGGCCTGACCTGGTTACTCAGTCACTCTGGGTCTCCAACGCCCCACTCCAAAACACGGCAAGGATAAGACCAGATCAGGGGCTCCTTTCTCCCTGCCCTCCCCGCCCCCCAACGCCCTTCTTCTCTTCTTGCCTGAATCAAGTCTCCAAGCATCCATGAATCTAGTCTGCCAAGAGCACGGCCTCCGAACGAGATCACCGAATCTTTACTCCAGAGACAAGTGAGTTCCAGGACCTCCCCAGCAAAATCGGCCAGGGACAGTCAGAAACTATCATTTTAGCCAGCCCCCTTGGGGATGTTCTAGGGACCTTCAGAGTCTGAGATCAGTAGACTCCACTGTGGCTGAAGCAGAAAGCCAGGCATGGCCTAGACCCATGGGGGTGGACGTAGGGGGCTGGGGAAGGGGCACAGCTGGTACTCAGGACTTGTTCTGTGAGTCTCAGTTTTCAGTCTTTCATTTGGACCCGATCTAATGACTGCACCTTGAACTCACTCAAGTGGTTCCAACCAAATGGGTAATTTCTCCAATGTAGGGCTTGCAGACAAGCTGGTGTCCTGCTCTGTCTTAGCTCTGGGGCAAGGCTGAGGGCTCCCCCAGAGGCGGGACTTTGTGATTATCATCTGGCTAGGGTGGGGACACTAACATGTGTACCTTCGGTGCTAGTGACTCAGAATAATATATGAGCTGGCCAGGAGCTGGCCTGTGGCACGTAGGCCTGAGAGCAGACCCGTCTGCCATGGACTGCGGGCTCCAGGACTGATTCAGAAGCTTTCAATCCATCTTGATGTCCACCCTTGCTTCCAGGTCCTGAAGCCAGATGGTCTGACCCGCAGGTGACTCAGAAAGTCTAACACAGACCCGACATAGCAAGTGGATGGTCTGTTTCCCTGTTCGTGGGCACCATGTACACTCTGGCTCCTGACCTGCAGGCCTGTGTCAGTGACACCTGGGTGGGTGTGAGCCCTTGGCACAGACACCAACAGGTGAGCCCATCACCTCGCGCGTTTGGCCTCCATGCCTCAGGGAAAGTTCGCCCCCTCCACTGAAGTCCTGGTAGGTCTCTTCCAACAAGTGCAGTTCATTCTGCAAGTACTGTACCCTCAGTATCGGCCAGGCCAACATTCGAGAATAAGAATGACGAAGTACCACATCATGGGAGTATCCTGTCACTGTCACTGTCACTGACCTCCTGTTGTTCATCGATTTGCTCGAGCAGGCCCAGTAACATTGTACCCTAAAGTCATTAAAAGGTAAAGGTAAAGGCCCTCCCGTTGATCGTCGATTTGCTCGAGCGGGCCCAGTAACGTCTCCATTGGAGACTTTGTTGTTACTGTGTCTGGCATATCGAATACTCTCGGTAGCTTGCCGGGCTCTCCGAGAGGGGCGGAGAAATCGAACTCGGGTCGGCCATGTTGGCCGCTTGTAAGGCGAACGCCCTACCGGCTGTGCTATCGCTCCAGCCCTGGCAAAATACATATAATAATAATAATTCCAAGAGGAAATCATATTGAAAGTCACATATGTGGGCTGGGAATCCAGCACAGGGGCTAAGGTGCTTTGTCTTGCATGCTGTAGAACTCTGGTTCAATTCCTGGTACATTTAGCCCCCGGAGCACAGTGCCAGGAGTAAGTCCTGAGCACTGCAGAGTGGCACCCAAAACAAAACAAGAACTAGAAACTGCAGAGAATCCTAGATGACCGATGAGAATGATGTCTGAAGAACTCCACTCAAAGCACAAAGACTCTCTGGTCATCTGTGACTGCCTGGAAGGTGGGTTCCTACCTCTCTTCCACATGTCTAACTGTGGTGTAACTGATCTGATAGTCTACAGTCAGGACTGATTGCAGAGACTGAATCAGATCGACTTCCGAAACCAGGTGAATACAAAAATGGGAAGCCAAATCTTTCATTTTTAACAAATGGCTTTAAAAACATGAGTGACAATCATTATTGGTGGGATGCTGACTGGTCCAGCCTTCTTGGAAAACGATATGGACATTCCTCAAAAAACTACAAACTGAGCTCCCATATGACCCAGCAATACCACTTCTGGGAATATATCCCAAGGGTGCGAAAAAGCACAGTAGAAATGCCATCTGCACTTGTATACTCATTGCAGCACTGTTCACAATAGCCAGAATCTGGAAACAACCCGAGTGCCAGAGAATAGACAACCGGTTAAAGAAACTATGGTAAATCTATAGAAAGGAATACTATACAGCTATTAGAAAGAGCAATGAAGTCATGAAATTCACTTATACATGGATGGACATGGAGAGTATCATGCTGAGTGAAATGAGTCAGAAGGAGAGGGTCAAACACAGAATGATTATACTCATTTTTGGGATATTAAAAAAAACATAAGGGGAGAGAGAGAGAGAGAGACAGAGAGACAGAGAGACAGAGAGACAGAGAAGAAAAGTGCCTGTCATAGAAGCAGGCTGGGGTAGGGGGGTGGCAGGAGGGATACAGGAAATATTGGTGGTAGGAAATGTACACTGGTGGAGGGATGGGCGTGGGAACATTGTATGGCTAAAACACAATCACAAGAGCTTTGTAACTGTATCTCACGGTGATTCAATTAAAATAAATAGATAAAACAAATTAAAAAAACATAAGCGAGGGGGCAAGAAAGATAGTATGGTGGTTAGAGCTCCTGCTTACATAAATCTGATCCAGATCAAATCCCCAGCACCCCATTTAGTCCCCCAAGCTCTGCCAGAAATGCTTTCCAATCCACAAGTACAAAGCTAGGAATAAGCCCTGAGCACTGTGGGGTATGGTCCCCCATCCCCCAAAAATTACAAGTGGTTATAAAGAACCAGATCCCAATTCATTATCCTGTGAAGCCAATGAAGGCACATGGCAGAGGGGAGTGTACAGTGGACACCCACCCGCTGTCCGATGACCCTCACAGTGCACACCCAGCACCCTCTTAAGCCTTTTCTGTGGGCCTGCTTTACTTCCTTTTTGCCAGTTGTGGGGGCCACTCCCGGTAGTTCCTGGCAGGATGGAGGTAGAGTCAGGGATGTGGGACCCTCCCTAGCCCTCTTGCGTTTTTCACACTCCAATCGACTCATGCATGGTGAGGAATAGTCAGCACCGAGCATCACACAGGTGAACCTTCCTGAACAATTCCATTCCCACCCACATCCAGGGGCCAACCCCAAATCCGATTCCTCCAACCATTCCCCACCCACCAGCAGCCGCGGCAGCAGCAGAGTGACCTTGGAGTTCTCTCTCGGCCCCTCATGCTCTATTTATCTCCATGACACCAATAAAATGTGTTACTACATCCTCAGACCAAGTCTCGATCTTCGTCCCGGCCCTTCTCCACAGCCAAGGGCGCCATTCTCAAGAGCACTTGTGGCCAGGCCCGCCTCCCTCTTAGCCACTTCTAAAGAGATCTCGGCAAAAGTATGAATTTCTTGCTTCTTAAATGGAGCCCAAGACTCTCACGCTCTGGGTCCCTCTGAAGCCAGGAGGCTGCTGCGTTTTTCCACCTTCCCTGGTTCACTGCCATCTACTCATCCCCCCTGGGCTCTCCTTCTTCCAAGCCTCCTGCAGATGGCTCTACTGGAGGGAGAGAGGACGCTGCCCTTCGCCTTTCTCATGGGAAGAAAGTGATCGGAGGACTGGGACCACATGGCATTCATGGGCATCCCCTATGCCTGGCCCAGTCAACACCACTTGTTAAGAAAAAAGCAGCAGCACCAAAATGCTAATGTCGCACTGTAGCACTGTCCTCCCGTTGTTCACTGATTTGCTCGAGCAGGCACCAGTAATGTCTCCATTGTGAGACTTGTTACTGTTTTTGACATATTGAATACGCCGTGGGGAGCTTGCCAGGCTCTGCCGTACGGGCGGGATGCTCTCAGTAGCTTGCCGGGCTCTCTGAGAGGAACGGAGGAATCAAACCCGGGTCGACCACGTGCAAGGCAAATGCCCTACCTGCTGTGCTATTGCTCTAGCCCATGCTAATGACCACTTAAAAATAACAACAAGCTAATGACCACTTAAAAATAACAACATACCTTGCAGACAGAGAGCAGCTAATTCCACAGCTGTTTCATACGGGCATTTCAATCTTGGAAGAAAAGAAAAGACATTATTTCTAAACGTGAATCTCCATATGCCTATGAACCCTATCACTGAAATTGTTTTTCAAAAGTAGTGATATGGGGGCATGATCTTTGTTCTTGGTCGTTTCTAATTTTGCTGTCCACGAGAATGCCAACAGGCACACTCATATAAACTCCCAAAGTCAGTTCTCTTGATATATTAGAATGACGTCACCCAAGTAGAGTTTGTATCAACCCCCTATGGGCGATTTTGCTGAATTTGGCAAGAATGGGGAAGTTTGGGAAATAGAACACGAAGTCTTCCCTTTGCCTTATTATTTTTAGACTAATTTTATCTTGGATGTAGTATGTGCATCTTTTTAAGCTGCCATAAATCTTTCTTGAAATGAGGTCACAGTGTTAAAAATACAGACACAATATCGAACATCGCCAGGCCGACTGGATACACTCAAGCATTCTAATAAGTAAAACCAAGACGCAGTTGGAAGAATGTGTGGCTCCAGTGAACTGATGGTGATCTTACTCACACTTAATATTACAAAAGTAGAAAACTAGTAACAGCACACAGAGACACAGAGCAGCAGTTTTCAAAGCCTTTCTGTGGAAGGGATCTAGCAGGGTCACTGTGTGGAGTATGGAGACCTCTGCATGTGTGTGCCCGGTGCACTCCCATTCCCCACCTCACTCCCAAAACAAGGAATGGGGTAGTGAACATCCCCCCCAAACTGTCCTGCTGGGAGGAGGCAGTGCTGAGGCCAGAAAACCATTCTGCTCGGAAGAGCATATAAAAATCAGGCTCAAGTATATGGCAACTATAAAGCACTGCACAGATGCAAGATGCATTAATATCTTCCCAACCTGAAGACAACTACTAGAGGTCTTTATAATGAAGAACACAGCAGAGAGAGGGGAGGGGAGAGAAAAAGAGAGAGAGAGAGAGAGAGAGAGAGAGAGAGAGAGAGAAAGAGACAGAGACAGAGACAGAGAGAGGGAGAGCGAGAATCAAAATCTTAACTGGACTATCAAAAAGACACAAGATTGGGGCTGGAGAGATAGTTCCAGCAGGTAAAACACACGCCAAAGATCTGCACCACGTGGTGAACACAGCCAAGGTATACACTGTACAATCTCCTTGTTGTATGGCAAAACACATTCCACCCAGATCATTTTTTTTTCTACAAGCACCAGTCTGCCAATTCCGAAATCACATTTTGAAGTCCCTTCAGCTGATATTCCAAATCAAAATGTAGTCTGGACAATAACACCGGGTGACTGCTGACACTGCTTTTTAAATTCCACGTGAAGGCTCAACTCGGCAGAGTCACTTTTCGTGTCACAGAAAAGCGTCAATGCACAGTCTGAGAAATGCCACAACGACAAAAGCCGTGACTGTGGAAGCCTCTTGTCTTCAGAATCAACAAATGATGCAACACAAAACCAGCCTCTTCTTTGTCCGTGCTTCCTGGGTGCACCTGCCATTGCGTAGTCGGGGGTGAGGCACTGGAAACCCACTTGGGGATGGGGGGAGGGGGAAGGAAATGAGATGAGATGTCTAAACGTCTTTATATCTGAATCCGGACAGAATCTCTTTACATTACTTAAGTGCAGATGGTGATGAATGGGGCTTTTTGACTCTGCAAATACTCGTAAGTGTATACATACTAATAAGGTATCTTGCTTGCAAACACAACAAAAGCCATTAAGAATGGGGCAGGGATGTGATCAGGGAGAGAATCATTCCCAAATGCACATCACTTAGGATATTAAATGCTCCTGGAAATGCTTCAAGCCATATAGTGATCGTGTGAAAATAAGGGGATGATGACATGATACAAGTATTAGACTCACTTTACAATGCCTGGTGAACCTTTTTTTTTTAAACTTTTTAAAAGGGAACACAGGTCAAAATTGTTTTTTAAAAAAATACCACAGTGAATTACTTAGAAACATACTATGATCTATCCTGGGTGAAGAGTTAGAACAAAAACATACTTACTTTCCTGAAAGAATGTCATGCCTGAGTTGTAAAACAAACAGGTACCTGACAAACATATATAAAAGTCAACAGAAGGTAAAGTTTTCCCAGCCACGACCCACCCTGGCTTCCTGTCCCCCCCTCCCCACCCCCTGTCCCCCCAGACTACGCTGCTGCATTGTAAAAAGGGAGTCCGAACCAAATGAGAACTTTGGTGGAAGCATCTCCTCCTGCAGCCCCGGGATGGCACCCAGCAGGTGGGGGATTCGCAAGATACTTGGAGGATGAAACATGGAACGCAGCTCTGGTTGCCGCCTCGGTGGGTGAGAGTCCAGCGCACACACAGCTCGGCACACAGGCATGCAATGTGTCCGACCCAACAGGCAGAGGGGAGCTCCCCCCACCTCCTGCTGGCTCAGCCTCGGCCAGCCCCACCAGCAGATTCCAGAAAGGGTGCGGCTGATTGTATTGGAAAGTGGACAGCTGACAGCAGTTAACAACTGCTGGAGGCTTTTTGTCTGGTGTGGCTGAACTTGAGACTCCTACACTTACATACACAGACACACACAGACACACACACCCCACTACACTCTCTCTCTCTCTCTCTCTCTCTCTCTCTCTCTCTCTCACACACACACACACACACACACACGCTCCCCTCTGCCCCCTCCTACCACGCACATGCCCACCCTCCCACACACAGCCCCTTAATCCTGGGATTAAACTGCTTCTGATTGAGGCAGAGTGATAGTACAGCAGGGAAGGAGGCACTATGCTTTTCACACACAGACCCAGGTTCAAGCCCTGGCATCCCACACGATCCCCTAAGCACTGCCAGGAGTAATTCCTGAGCTCAGAGTCAGAAGTAACCCCTGAGCATCACTGGATGAAGCCTGAACTCCCCTCAACTACCAAGATAAATAAACAAACAAACAAACTGCAGCTGGTTTTAGAAGTGACAAAAATGGGCAAGACAGCAGCCAATTATTGAAGTGGGGATCATTTAGGGAAAACTGGAGTCTGGGCTAAGTGTTTTGGGTTTGTCTGTTTGGTTTAGGGGCCACTCCCGGCTGAGCTCAGGGCTTACTCCCATGGGGCTCGTGAGAACATATGCCAGGGCTAGAAGCAGGGCTGGCCCCGGGCAAGGCCAGCACCTTACCTGTTGTATTCTCGCTGGCCTTGGGCTGAGAGTTTTTGACAGGAGGGTATGGAGCACCAGAACCTCTTGAGGGTTCTGCAGCAGCCACAGCTGCCCAGGCTCTTCAGCACGCACACGATTGGAATGTGACATGTGAAAGAGGTCCCCAGGAATCAGAGAGAGGTGCCAAGCTCCCTAGGAGTCTCTGAGCCATACAGTTCTGGAGAGGAATCACTGAGGCAGGAGACCTCTCAAAGTGGCGGGTTTCATATACCATGCCCAAGGGGAATCTGCAACTCTTTTTTTTGGTTTTTGGGTCACACCCGGCGATGTACAGGGAACATTCCTGGCTCTACACTCAGGAGTTACTCCTGACGGTGCTCAGGGGACCATATGGGATGCTGGGAATCGAACCCGGGTTGGCTGTGTGCAAGGCAAACGCCCTACCCTCTGTGCTATCACTCCAGCCCCACATTCCTTTATCTTTCAGGGGATAAAAGAAGGGTCTTCTCCAAGCCTGCCTCCAGCCCCCACAGCTGACGCAGCTTCACTGCTGTCCTGCACACAGACAATGACAAAGAGGCTCTGAGGACACCAGAAACAGCTCAGGCCAGGCAGAGAATCTGGCGGACAGAAGCACGCAGCCCGGGAGACTCTACACTTAACACATTCTGCTTCTACGCCATATCTGGGACTCGGCAAGATGGACACAGGCCAGTGGACCATGAAAGAAATTCAATGGGGCTAAGAGATGCCATGGAGAGATGCTAATAGCTTTAAAACTGTAGTCATCAAGGGAATATTCTGCTGTCCTTAAAATAATAATCATTTTTGAAATATTGGCAATTTGAGAAACACTGGTCCAATACTGGCTTCGCTTTTAATTTTTTTTGTAGCAGAGACAAAAACAGAGTTGCCAGACTGAAGCAACACACCCAAGGGCAAAAAAGAATGGAACCGAGAAAATATATGTTAATTTCTAGTCGCTAAGAAAAAGGTCAAACTGAGCCAAGTGTGAATTTCCAGCAGTCCACAGAGATAAGCACCAGCAGAGTACAAATAACAATGACAGCACACAGAAACAGAAGTGTCCCCCCACCCTCAACCCACCCTGCGAAAACCCAGCATGTAAGCCATAGGGACTACTCGGGGATCTTGTGCATTTTGGTCCTACCTTGTAAACTCTTCGTGAAGGTTGTTCGGTTCTGAAGAATAATATTTAACTCGAAAGTGCAAAGCATAAGCAGGTCCAACTAACCATTTGGTGATGGAAGGTGGAAGGTAACAGAAGGGACAAAAAGAAAAACATGTTAAGTCTAGGAACCCAGGGACTCTGACAGGGAGCAGAGATTGTACAAGGCTGGTTCACCCTTTCCAATTCCAATTAGGGAAAACTAAACTGGACTTTGGTGCTGACAAAGATGATTCAGCAAGTAAACCTCCTGGAAGAAAACCCCCGCTCATTTAGATTAACTGCTAAAAGCTGACATTTTACCTTCCCTGGGTTGTTGAGATATTTCTGATAATTTTTTTTAAAAAACCAAAACCCCCGAATACTAACTAGACTAACAAAGTGTAATTTAACTGCTGGCCCATAGACTGGTGCCAGTCTGTAAGTCTAGGAAAGTCAACTGGTCAACCACCTTGGTTAGACCCGCCAGTCTGCGGATTAATATACAAGACAGAGACAGGTCTGCAGGTATAAAAAGTTGAAGAAGGGTGAGCTAAAGGAAAGTACCGCATAAAACGGGAAATGTTCTTTAATCTAAAAGACCTTTAAAATACTTTTGAAAAAGAGAATATGAAACTGACAATTGGATCCACACCCAAATAATACTGAAAAACTGTGGCCCAGGTTAGACCAAGCTATCAAGGAGTCCTGCACACTCAGAGGCCAGCACTCATTAGAAAGTGAACACCATAGTGCAGAATCCTAATTTTGATGGACCTAATAACCGGTTCCCAGTAGCAGGGAATTCTTGGCTGTGAGGGAGTTACTTGAGAGTTGTCTAAGTTTTCTGATTTTTAAGTTTTTTTTTTTTCATTTCCCACCATTTTTAATGAGGTACCATGATTTACCACACTGCTAACGATATTTTCATATACACATCATCTCAATACCATCCTGGGTTGTTTTTTTTAATTTTAATAACTAATGAAAACAAACAGGCAAAACCTCTGTTTGAACTTTAAACTCTTAATACTCAGCCAGCCAAATGTAAAATGAAAAATCACCCACTTGAAATTAAATCTATTTTTTAAGTGTTCCTGAGTTCTAATGAAAACCTAACTCCTCAAACTTGACAAAGGTGTTGACTCCCCGAAAAAGAATGAAGTGCTTGCTTACTTTTCATCTGCTTCTTGATGGGTTTGGAATGATCCAGCCAGTGCTGAAAGAGAAGAAAATGCATCTTTAAGAAAGCGTTCATCTGCAAGATTATACATTGCCCGTATTCATCCTCTTCCACACACGGCAGTAATGCCTCCATGAAAGACAGGGATTAGGGAGAGGATGATGTCTGCGACTGAGGAATCCACACACCACTTGAGGTGCTATCTAAAATTCCTGTGAGCACACAGACGTTGGTCTGACTAGAGAGGCCTCAAGCTTTCCAAATAGGTGTGTGAGAGCTCTGTGAAGGCTTGGAGGCCTCACCAGGGCCACTAACTGTCCTTTTCTGAACTCCTCAAGTTACAATCCAGCAACCCCCATAACTCCAAGTCTCCGTTAGTGTAGCAACAACACAGCCACAATGCTGGAAGGACTGAAACACATGTCTGGTACCTCGAGGCCCTGAGTTCCTCCCCAGCACGATCGGGGACAGCCTCCCCTCCCCCCAGCATCCCTGGGCCTGGGCATTCAAACCTTCCAACCCACACAGCCTGAGCACTGCTTGGGATTCAAAGCCAAAACCTGAGGCCAAGCTGCCAAGAATTCCTCATCCTCCCTCAATCTGGAGTTCTGTCTCCCTAAACTCTAAAAACCACAAAACCATAGGGGCTGGAGGCACAGGACAGTGGGTGGAGCCCTTGTTTGCAGGCTACTGACCTGGACTCAATCCCTGGCACCCTGTATGGTCCCTGAGCACTGCTAGCACTGATCCCCGGCACAGAACCAGGAGAACGCCCTGAACACAGTTGTGTATAACCCCAAACAAACAAACAAAAATCCCCCCCAAAACACCATCTCTTAACCCCTGGTGCGTCATTTTCCATCTGAGAAACACTACTTTGGTCAAGGTGGACATTTCAACACTCTCGAGTTTTCATCCAAGGAAACCACTTCATCCAAGGAAAATTCTGAACTGTATAACACGCAGGAACGTGTCTCAGAGGTTGTTGATGAGCACAGGCCTGGTGGGAGGCTGGACCCCCATGAAATCCACCCCCTGGGTGTGAACATCAGACAAGAACAGTGGGGATCATGAACTTAAATCCTCTTTGCTTCTCAGGTGGATCAGAGTGTGGGCCCATTTGCCCTTACTAAACTTCTGAGACATAAATAAATGCCAAGTATGATTTTTTTTTAAGGTGGCAAATAAGGACCCTCCCCATCACTCTATTTGTTTTGTGGGAGGCTACACCTGGCAGTGTTCAGGGATCACTCACGGCTCAAAGGGACCCTGTGTGGTGCTGGGGATCAAACCAGGATCAGCTGCGTGCGAGGCAAAACCCCCAATCCACTGACTATACTACCTCTCCATCCCACCCATCCCTGCCCCCACATCACTTTATGTGAATGCGGCCCCCACTTTTGTCTGTGCCTGGGGAACTGGGAGCAACCCATGCAGCATCAGAATCGGAGGTCATCCCGCAGACTGCCCACAGCCACTCCAAAGCAATCCAGACGCGGCCAGTCTAACTATAAGAAAGGGCAGGATTCCACGAGTCCGCTACACCTCACGGAGCGCCCACACAGTGGCTGTAGGGGGGGAGGAGGAGGAGGAGGAGAGATAAGGAAACACAAAAGCCACGACGACGACGACGACGACGACGACGACGACGACGACGACGACGACGACGACGACGACGACAACGTGCTTCGCTGGAATACAATATGCTCTGAGTTGCGCCCCGGGAGGGCTCCGTGGGCCTCTGCCTCTCTGCTTCCGGCTGAGCCACTTTGCAATAAAAGCGGCCCGTCCCCGTCGTGGCAGGAGGCATCGTGCAGGCAGGCAGCCGGATGGCACCGTGAGTAAAAGCTCGGAATCGGAAGCCACCGACATGCGCCAGCCACAAAGACAGATGAGGGCGGGAAGACTCACCCCGTCAGGAAATAAATGGGTCCGTCTTCACAACCCAGCGAGACCTCTAGCAATTGCTGCCGCAAGAGATCCCACAGCACATGTCAGGAGGAGGGGCAAAACCAAAGGGCAGGCAGGAACTCATGGATATAAAATTATGACATTGTATCCAGACAGAGGCCCAGAAGGAACGAAAAGAAACATTTTCAGGGGAAGGAGGGTCAGTCTGTGAGAGAGCTATTTCCTCCGCACTATTCTGTTTTTTTTTTTTTTAATTTTATTTTAGTGAATCACTGTGAGATGTAGTTACAAGCTTTCATGTTTGAGTTACAACCACACAATGATCAAACACCCATCCCTCCACCAGTGCACGTTCCCCACCACCAATCTCCCCAGTAATCCACCCCCGTTTCCCGCCCTCCCCCTGCCTCCCTGGCAGACAATATTCCCCATCCTCTCTCTCTCCTTTGGGGCATTATGGTTTGCAATACTGAGAGGTTCTCATATCTGGTCCTTTATCTACTATTCTGTTTTTAATAAGGACACTCGTGTCGCCGCAGTGGGGAGGGAGGGTGGGTTGTCACTGGGCTATTATTACTCACTCTTCGGCTGCTCTCAGGCAGTTTTTAAATGATCAATGAGCCTCATTAGAATTAGAGAACTCCTTCAACCACGCTGAACCCCCACGCGCACCGACAGTCCTCAGCCAGGGGACCGATGTGGATCAGAGCACAGAGCATTTACTTTCCTGTCGAGGTTATGCTACTGGCGATTAAACCCAGCAGTGATCCGCTCACTTCAAAATGAACTAACCGTTACCAGGCAGAGAACGTTCTCCCTGCAACCAGCCTTCTAACCCTCGCAGCCTCTGAGCTTAAAAGAAGCGTCTTCATTTCTTTCATTCCTCCAGCTTCCTTCTATCTCCAGCAGAGTAACTTTAAGTTCACCTTGCCACGAAGACACTCGAATCCCGAGGTGGGGATAACCAGAGCTGCTTGGAAATTGGGGGTGGGGGCGGGGGACACACATACCCAGGGGCGCTCAGGAGTGACTCCTGATTGGCCTTTGGGGGGGACTACACACAATGCCAGGGATCATACTGGTGCAGCCTGCATGCACGGCAAAATCCTCCCCTCACATTCCCCCTACCTCCTGTACTGTACTGCCAACCCTCAAAGCTGTTTGTTATTTAGTTGTATTTTAGGCACGGTGATACACAGGAATGTTCAAAACGGCGTTTCATGCTTATGATGTTCCAACTCCACACTCTCGACCAGAGCGTCCACTTCCTTCCACCACCGTCCCAGGGTCCCCCTGCTCCTGCAAGCCACATCCCCACTCCCAGTACCCTGCAAGCTCAGCTCCCGAGACCAGTTCGGTTGCCTTGGGCCATCTGTCATTCCCTTAGCCCAGTGCTGTTCTTCACTGCTGTGATTCTCGACTCTGGCTTGCACCCTGTCATGGCAGTGATGCAGACCACTCCCCCCGCCCCACCCCCGCCCTTTCCCCTGCCGTGACCCAGGACTCGGAACCTTGGAGCAACTGATCTTTGACAGGCTGTGTCGAATTCAATACTTAACGCTCCAGTTTTCCAGCCATCTTCTCCTACCCAGAAATATAACCGAACGATCTCGGGGCTCTTGAAACGTTCATGATACAGTGTGAAAATTGCTGTCGGAGCTTTAGAAAATCTCCAGCAATTTCAGGGTTTACTAGCCAAACGTCTGTGGCTGGTGTGAGCTCACAGACAGATCACAACGGGCCTACACAGCTGGTCTAGCAGACAGCAGACTGCCGTTCCCTCTGGCCTTGCTACGAAAGGAGCTCCCTGTCCACTCCGGCTGGCCTCTCTCCTTCCCGCCCAGCTGCAGTGCCCAGAGGCCCGGGCATGTCTGGGGCTCGCTGAGCTGGGAAATGGCTCCTGGTGAAGCTCTTGGGTCCCAGGGGAGCTCAGCTTATGCTCGCTGGTCTGCAACAGAGGCACTGAGAAGCCCAGTCTAGCAGGATGAGATGAGAAACAGTATCTCAGGTCCGATCAGTTTGAAATGAAATGACACGTGTGAACCAGACATGGATCACCGGGTATTTTATCCTCGCAGACCACCTGGTGACTTGAAGACCCCGATACTCAGGCCCTATGAGGCACTGCAGTAAACAGCATCTGCCTCGCCCAGCTCTGCTAAGAGGCCTGTTCTCTGCAGCAGCGGCAGCAGCAGGAGCTGTCTGGGCTGGGAACCTGCTCTCTGGCTAAATATAGCCACACGACTGCCAGTCGGTCGGCTCCAGGTCTCTTAACAAACCATTTAAAGAGACGCTGGAAACAGACAGGTACACTTCTGAGTTCAAAGGGCAAGACATTGGACTCCAACGCTCGAACGGGTGTGGGAGAAAGTGGCTTCTGATCTGAATGTCTCATCCAAACTCCGTCTGGAAAACCTTTACCATAAATCAAGGGGAGAGATGACTTGGCAAGGCCCAACTGCCGTAATGGCACATCAGTTCTGGAACTCTGACACATGAGGTTGGGTGTGGAATCTGATTGTCTAGCCTGCACACCGAAGCAGCACTTGTCCCGTGACATTCAAGAGAGGCTCGGAGAACAAGGAAGCTCTCAAAACTGCCCGAAAGCACGACCCCTGGGTCCTCGCCATCAGGAGGACCCGGGAACTCCACGCCTGGCCTGATGAAGAGGGGATTTAAGTGAGAGCTGGAAGGGACCAAAGAGGGATACCAGTGTCTACGGAGCAAGAGGAGAAGGAAGGGAATGAGGACATCTGGAGTTTTCTGCGTGATACAGTGATTTATACAGAGTAACAAGTATATATTTTAACCCTGTTTCTTTTTTGTTTTTTTATTTCCTTGGTCCACACCTGGCAACGCTCAGGTATTACTCCTGGCTCTGCACTCAGGAATTACTCCTGATGGGATGCTGGGGATCGAACCCAGGTCGGCCGCATGCAAGGCCTTACCCACTGTACTATCGCTCCAGTCCCAAGATCCCTGTTCCTTATGCAGAGCTCCTGAAAGCCGTAGGATGTCCTAATTCAGGAGAATCAAAGAAAATTACTTGCTATTCATGACAAACATCTGAGTTAAGCTAATAAGGTGACTTTATGTGTTACTTATTTTGGGGTTTGGGGCAGTAC